CCTGCTGAAAGAGCAAGTCGATTATTTAAGTGCCACATGTCCCACATAAACGTTTGGAAGTAAGATTAGTAATAATAATTGATAACATTATGAATGCTTATTAATAACAAGGATTGTGCTAAATAAGCAAGAACTATCATCCTAATGGTTTTTGATACTCACTGCACCTATGAGTCATAGAGAATAAAAATAAATAAATAAAACACGTTTGGGCCCCAGCCCAGATCTAAAAACTCAGAATGGCAGGAAAGAAATGTAAATTTCCCAAGAGTCTTCAAAGGGTCCCCAATGAACATACCTTCTAGCATTCATCCCTTGTGTAGTCCACCCCCCTCCCACACAGGGTCTAGGCTGGCCTGTGACATGCTTTATCCAACAGAATATGGTGAAAGTGATGATACATCAGTTCAAGGATTAAGACTTTAAAAAGATGCTTTTGAGATCCCTGAGTTACCATGTAAGAAGTCCAGTTACCCCACTAAAGAGATAGATGAAGAGTGAGAGAATGAGATAACCTGAGGCCCACGCATCTCAGAATCTTGCTAAGCCCAGTTTTCTAGCCATCTCCTGCTAACGTATGAGAAGCGAGTGAAGTATCGCGAGCATCACAGTCCAGGCAAGCCCCCTGATCACTACAGCTTAAATTGATATCATGTACAGCAGAAGAACCATCCTGTTTATCCCAGTCAATCCAGAGAACTGTGAGAGATAACATAATGGTTGTTCCTTTTAGCCACTAAGTTTTGGAGTGGTTTGTTACATGGAAATGGGATAGCTAAAATACCAAGTGATCACCCAATATTTGGTGATGCTCACAGCAACACAATGAGCTGGGTAATAGATATAGCAACTGAAACACAGAAATTAAATAATTGGCCTATGATCACATGACTATTAAGTGATAAAGCCTGGCATGAAACTCAGGTTTATGATATTCAAAGACCGCGCTCTTTATTTTTACTATAAAAAGAATAGATACTCATGGTAAAAATTTCAACAGTACAATAGGTATAAAAGTAAAAAGTCCAAATCCCAATTCATCTTTCTCCATCACCCTGTGCCCTTTTACTTTCCCTAGAGGTAATCACTATAACTTTGTTGCCTACATAATAAGTTTTCTACTTTACTCCAGTGGCTATCAATCTCTCACTGCATTTAAAGGAATTTTTTTCCTCCAATATTTTCACACAAGAGCCAAAAGACTTTTACATAAAGCCACTGATGCAGTGTTTAAAATAACAAAAAGAGGGAATTCCCTGGCAGTCCAGTGGTTAGGACTCCATGCTTTCACTGCTGAGGGTACAGGTTCAATCCCTGGTAGGGGAACTAAGATCCCAGAAGCCACATGGCGCAACCAAATAAATAAATAAATAAAATAACGAAAATACTGGAAACAGCCTAAGTGCACATCAGTAGGAGACTATTAACTATTATACATGTATGCAACAGAAAACTAAACATCAAAAAGAATAAAATAACTCTACTGATAAGAATAACATTATTTCTGCATGTTTTCTCTAGGCCACAAACATCGACTGCAACTGAATGAAGGAACTGAGATTGTGGTACCCACTGATTTAACTAGAATGTAAGTTGCATGAGGTCAGAGACATTGGCCTTCTTGTTCACCTCTATATCCCCAATGCTTAGAATACTGCTGGACACATAGTTGATGTTCAATAAATATTTGGTGCATGAATGAATAATGTACTGGATATTCTCATTAGGTAAAAAAAAAAGCAAAATGCAAAGTGGTGTGTATAATATGTATGTTAAAATGTATCCAGGATTTGTTTTAAGTGGGTATGGTAAGACATGCAGACATGGAAAGAACTATACGAAGAAAGAAATTTTTTACACTCGTAGATCCCAAGGAAGAGAAGATGTAGTCTGCCATGCAGGGCTGCATGGGAAAGCACCACGATCGATCAGGAGGCAGAAGGTAAAGAGGGGAGAGCATGGCCTAGAGCCTTTATTGGAGTTTCCCCAGGAGGGAATGGATAAGGCAGGGTAGGTATGCTGAGTAAGCTTAGGATGGATAACTTGAATACTTTTGGCACACTCTGGGCTATAGGGATGGTCCCTAGTTCTCTGGTATCTGACCCTGGGGTGATTTAGGGCAGGTGGAATATTGGCTTGGTGTGTGAAGGTTTGATAAAGGAGATGGTTGGGGGACTGGGCTCCAGATTGGTTGGACTGTATATGAAAGGTCCACTTGCAGGGGAGTCCTTTGCTGTCTCTAGGAATTAGCTAGCCCTGGGAAGGCCAGTCTGTCCATGATCAAGGCCCCAAATGCCAGAGCATCAAGAATATAAAAAAATTTAAAAATGTAGTCAATACGTCATGATACAATTTTCCCTAAAAAGTGGGGAGAGGCTTGAATATACAAGAAAAATTTTAGAAGTATATACTAGAGAATGTTAACAGTGGTTAACTCTTCGGAATGGAACTTTTATTTTCATTTTGTATTTTTCTATACTACTTGGATTTTTTAAATATAAGCTACCACTATTGTTCTATAGTAGCTAATTAAAACATACAGTACTAGGGCCCACTATAGTAAATCTATGGTAGATCTGGGTACCTGTATTGTTAAAACAGTTCCATAATGATTTGGATTCACAGTTAGAATTGTAAACCACTATCATAACCCAATTAAAAAATACCACATATCCCAATGCAAAATTAAATCAACTCTAGATATGCTCACTTTGTAAATAACCTTCTGGTGTTAAACTTATTCTGCTATTCTAGATACCACTTTTTTCACCAGAAATACGGCTTCCTAGCAGACGGTATACTCAGTGCTTCCAAAAGATCACAAAAGATTCACATTTTAAAGCTTACCATTCTCTTGCAGAGTAAAATGCTCCCAAGGATCACACTTCAGCTGGATGTTAAGTGACTGCTTTGTGAGGCTTACAGGTCCTACTACCTTCCACAGCACTTCTTGTTTGTAATGTGCACTGGCTTGGACCTAAGGACATACAAGAAGAGCTGGGTTCATGAGAGGATCAGCAATAGCTAACTAAACCTCAAAGTTTGATTAAACATAAAATTTCCTATGGGTACAGAAAGCAGAATGATGAAGAAACCAGTGTCTTAATCAGTTCACAAAAGCAGCAGACCTTTAAAGGGAAAACAGAGGATAATGCATCAGCCCAGAAAATAATGGTCATAAAATCCTCTTGCTTACCCATGCCCACTCTTTGCTGGTAGACCCCTGGGGTTCTCAGAAATGAACAATAGATTACCCTTTTCCCACCTGTTGTCCTTTGTCTCCAAGTTCTGTCTCCAGATTTTCCAGCACAGTCACCACTTCCTCTCCACTCCCTGGATGATACTCCCATACCCTGGCCTGCAGCTCCTCGGGCAGGATGGTCAGGAACTGCTCCAGCACCAGCAGCTCCAGGATCTGCTCCTTGGTGTGCATCTCAGGCCGCAGCCACTTTTGGCAGAGCTCCCGGAGCCGGCTCAGAGCCTCTCGAGGTCCAGGGGCCGCCTGGTAACGGAACTGCCTGAAGCACTGGCGGAAAAGTTCCTGATAAGGGTGCACATTACCTACTTGGAGAGGCTTCTGCTCCCAAGCATGGTTCTCCTCTTCCTCTACCTTCATGATTCTCAGTCCCTCCTGCTCCTCTCGAGTGTGCACCACAGGAGTCAAGGCTGCGTGTTCTTTCAACTTGGTGGACATCTTAGAGTGCAATGGCTCAGGATAGGATTCACTTGTCTTACATACCAGGAATCAGGAAGAACCTTAGGATCAGAGCACTCCTGTGGGAGGAGAACACACTTAAAACAGCAGAATAACTAACTAGAGCAGTCAAGAACCTATGTCATTAATAATGAAGACTCACTGCCAAGGTGATGTTCCTGAGTAGCGGAAAATTAGGAGGATAATATTCCTGAGATCCGTGAAAATAGATCAGAATTACTGAGAAAGGGCACTTGGCTGCTGATATACAGAAAAGTGCTACATAAATATTAGCATTAGAACTTCTATTGTGGGAAATAAGGCCACATTCTCAGAATTTAAAGACTTTTTAGTTTATAAGAACTACATTACAGGAAGAAAAAAAGCACATGAGCCAAGGCTGGTGACCACCATAGCTCATTTGCCAAGGCTTTCTTTCATGTATACTCATAATCTACCACCCCTTCATAGAACTGCTTCAGCAGGGCAGGATGGGTCTTGGGACACTCCTGTAGAGGGAAAAGGAGGCTTCCTGATCCTTAGCAAGGTAAGGGAAGATGGATCTTGCCACACTTTAGTAAACTTACTATGACAATATACACATGAGCCGAGTCATAGTTATTTTTCCACTAAAACTTTTACGACATTTAAAGGAATCAAACTACTTATACAGAGGAGTAATATACTACAGCTCCATAAACTGGTTATAGTGTTCGTTCAAGGAATAAAGGATTAAGCACCTAACCCTCAGTTGAGGTATTTCCCTCTCCCACCGCAACCCCCCACCCCGCCTCCATCGTGTATGAAAGAATGAGAATCAAGCAAAATCTGAGTGGTTTATGCTATACTATAAAATCAAAATAACAGCGACAAATCCAAACCGAACAGTAGAGAGACAAATCGTTACTGAGCTCGTTACCAAGCATTGTGTGCACGTGCTGGGGGGAGAACAGGACACGCAAGCCGCAAAGACCCCCTCCCCGTCCCACCTCTGGCCCGTGGGACAACAGAGATGGGGCGTTCTGCAGCTTGGCAGGGGAGAAGCCCGACCGCTCACCCGCAGCTCTGGGGATGACTGGCGCTCCCTGGAGATTAGCCCTGGCAGGTAGTTAAGGCAAAAATCTTAAGCCACCATCCCGCCGGGCCAACCAGGAACCCTAAACGGCCGAGCAAAAGGCGCCCAGGACCACGAGGCCACTTCCGGTGCCCGCCTAGGAATCCGGAGGCGCGGTCCTCTCTATGATCAACCTTACTACTCCGCCGGCTTTATGCCTTCACAAGGTTCGGCCAGGGCTGGAGGAGCGCTTCGTTCTGGCGTTCGGATTTTTATTCCCCTGTTTCTCACCCGCTGCCTTCTCCTGAGGAAATCTGAGCCAGTCGATAAAGTTCAAATCACCCACAAGGTTGCTGAGACTTGCCACACTCCAGGAGTTAGCTCAGAACCCTTTTTGTAGTGTATTTATTATTGATGAGTGAAAGTTCTTTTTACATTCTGGATATGAGCTCTTTGTTATATGAACACCAGATATCGGCTCCCACTTCCCTTTTTACTCCCAACCGATGTCTTTTTGCTGAAAAATAGCTTTAAAAAACCTAACAGACTTTATTTTTAAAGAGTAGTTTTAGGTTTACAGAAAAAATGGAGCAGAGAGTATAGACTTCCCACATGGCCCCTCCAAACCCCCTCCCCGGCTACACAAAAACGCTATTATTAACATCTTGCATTAGTGCAAGTGCATTGTATCTTTGGTTACAATCAGTGAGCCAATATTGATAAAGTATTATTAGCTAAAGTCCATAGTTTATATTAAGGTTAATATAAACTGTGTAATACATTCTATGGCTTTAGAAAACATAATAACATGCATCAACCATTACAAGCATCATACTAAACAGTTTCACCGCCCTAAAAATCCCCTATGCTCCACCCATTCATCATTCCCACACTCCAACCCCTATAACCCCCAGCAACCACTGATCTTTTTACTGTCTCCATAGTTTTGCCTGTTCCACAATGTCATGTAGTTGGAACCAGAGTTTGTAGCCTTTTCAGATTGGCCTCTTCACTTAGCAAAAAGCATATAACATTCATTTCTCCATGGATTTTCATAGCATAATAGTTCATTTCTTTTTATTGCTGAGTATTCTATTGTCTGGATGTACCACAGTTTATCCACTCACTTACTGAAGGAAATCTTTCTTGTTTCCAAGTTTTATCAGTTATGAATAAAGCTGCTATGAACATCCTTGTGCAGGTTTTGTGTGGACATAAGTTTTCGATTCATTTGGATAAATACCAAGGAGTGCAATTGCTGAATCATGTGGTAAGAGTATGTTTAGTTTTGTAAGAAACTGCTAAACTGTTTTCTGAAGTGGCTGTACCATTTTGCATTCCCACAAAGAATGTATGAGAGTTCCTGTTGCTCCATATCTTCATCAGCACTTGGAGTTGTCACTGTTTAGCAATTTAGCTATTCTAATGGGTGTGTAGTGGTATCTCCTTGTTTTAATTTACAATTCCCTAATGACATATGATGTGGAGCATCTATTCATATGATTATTTACCATCTGTATATCTTCTCTGGTGAGGTGTCTATGCAGATCTTTTGCCCATTTAAAAAACTGAGTTGTTTGTTTTCTTATTGTTGAGTTTTAGGAGTTCCTTGTATATTTCAGATAACAGTCCTTCTTTAAAAAAATTCATTTTATTAAAGGATAGTTGATTTACAATGTTTAGTTTCAGGTGTACAGCGCAGTGACTAAGTTATATACATATCCATAAAAAGAATATATATATATATATATGTTCTTTTTTTCTTTTTCTTATTATTTATTTTTATTTATTTATTTATTTGGCTGCACCGGATCTTAGTTGTGGCACTCAGGATCTTTTAGTTGCAGCATGCGGGATCTAGTTCCCTGAACAGGGATAGAACCCGGGCCCCCTGCATTGGAGCATTGAGTCTTAACCACTGGACCACCAGGGAATTCCCTATATGTTCTTTTTCAGATTCTTTTCCCTTATAGGTTATTACAAAATACTGAGTATAGTTCCCTGTTATACAGTAGGTCCTTGTTGGCTATCTATTTTATATATAGTAGTGTGTATGTGTTAATCCCAACCTCCTAATTTATCCCTCCCCCTCCTTCCCCTTTGGTAACCATAAGTTTGTATTTTATGTCTGTGAGTCTATTTCTGTTATGTAAATAAGTTCATTTGTATCTCTCTCTCTTTTTTTTTAGATTCCATATATAAGCAATATCATATGATATTTGTCTTTCTCTGTCTTACTTCACTTAGTATGATAATCTCTAGGTACAACCGTGTTGCTGCAAATGGCATTATTTCATTCACTCTTTTTTATAGCTGAGTAATATTCCACTGTATATACATACCACATCTTCTTTATCCATTCCTCTGTCAATGTGCATTTAGGTTGCTTCCATGTCTTGGCTATTGTAAAGAGTGCTGCTATGAACATTGGGGCACATGTATCTTTTTGAATTATAGTTCTCTCCAGATATAGGCACAGGAGTGGAATTGCAGGATCATATGGTTACTCTATTTTTAGTTTTTTAAGGAATTTTCATACTTTTTTCCAAAGTGGCTGTACCAATTTACATTCCCACCAACAGTGTAGGAGGGTTCCTTTTCCTCCACACCATCTCCAGCATTTATTATTTGTACACTTTTTTAAAATTACCAATCTACCTTTTTATTGTTTATTTATTTATTTATTTGGCTGCATCAGGTCTTACTTGCAGCATGTGGATTCTTAGTTGTGGTGTGCATGTGGAATATAGTTCCCAGACCAAGGATCGAACCCAGGGCCCCTGCACTGGGAGCATGGAGTCCTACCCACTGGACCACCAGGGAAGTCCCTGTATACTTTAAAAATAAAAAAAATTATTTATTTGGCTGGGTCAGGTCTTAGTTGCAGCAAGAGTGATCTTTGTTGCTATATGTGGGATCTTCATTGCAGCATGCGGGATCTGTTTTTTTAGTTGCGGCATGTGGGATCTTTAGTTGCAGCATGCAGGCTCTTAGCTGAGGCATACAGGATCTAGTTCCCTGACCAGGGATTGAACCCAGTCCCCCTGCATTGGGATCATGGAGTCCTAACCACTGGACAACCAGGGAAGTCCCTATTTGTATACTTTTTGATGATGGTCATTCTGACAAGAGTAAGGTGATACCTCATTGTAGTTTTTATTTGAATTTCTCTAATAATTAGTTGATGTTTTTTTCATGTGCCTGTTGGCCTGTGTGTCTTCTTTGGAGAAATGTCAATTTAGGTCTTCTGCCCACTTTTCAATTGGGTTTTTGTTGTTGTTGTTGTTATTGAGTTGTATGAGCTGTTTGTACATTTTGGAAATTAAGCCCTTGTCTGTCACATCATTTGGAAATATTTTCTCCCATTCTGTAGGTTGTCTTTTCATTTTGTTTATGGTTTCCTTTGCTATGTAAAAAAAGTTTATACATTTGATTAGGTCCCATTTGTTTACTTTTGCTTTTATTTCTATCGCCTTGGGAGACTGACTTAAGAAAACATTGCTACGATTTATGTCAGAGAATGTTTTGTCTAGGTTCTCTTCTAGGAGCTTTATGGTATCATGTCTTATATTTAAGTCTTTAAGCCATTTTGAGTTTATTTTTGTGTATGGTGTGAGGCAGTGTTCTAAATTCAATGATTTACATGTGGCTGTCCAGCTTTCCCAACACCACTTGCTGAAGAGACTGTCTTTTCCCCATTGTATATTCTTGCCTCCTTTGTCAAAGATTAATTGACTGTAGGTGTGTGGGTTTACTTCTGGGCTCTCTATTTGCATTAAGTCTTCCAGTATGATGTTGAATGGAAGTGAGAAGGGACATCTTTGTCCTACTCCTCATCTTAGAAGGAAAGCATCTAATTTTTTTACCATTAAGTATGATGTTAGCTGTAGTTTTGGTAGATATTTTTTTTTGAAGCTACTGCTTATCTTTTATTATTATTATTTATTTATTTATTTTTGGCTGTGTTGGGTTTTCATTGCTGCACATGGGCTTTCTCTAGTTGTGGTGAATGGGGGCTACTCTTCGTTGTGGTGTATGGGCTTCTCGTTGCAGTGGCTTCTCTTGTTGCAGAGCATGTGCTCTAGGCACGCTGGCTTCAGTAGTTGTGGCTCACGGGCTCTAGAGTGCAGGTTCAGTAGTTGTGGCACGTGGGCTTAGTTGCTCTGCGGCATGTGGGATCTTTCTGGACCAGGGCTCGAACCTGTGTCCCCTGCATTGGCAGGCAGATTATTAACCACTGTGCTACCAGGGAAGTCTTTGGTAGATGTTCTTTATCAAGTTGAGGAAGTTCTTCTCCATCCCTAGTTTGCTGAGAATTTTTATTATGAAAGGGTGTTAGATTTTGTCAAATGCTTTTACTGCATCTATCAATATGATTATATATTTTTTCTTCTTTAGCCTATTGATGTGATGGATTACATTAACTGATTTTTAAATGGTGAACCAACCTTGCATACCTGGGATAAATCCCACTTGGTCATGTTGTATAATTCTTTTTATACATTGTTGGATTCAATTTACTAATATTTTGTTGCATATTTTTGCATCTATTCATGAAATATATTGGTCTGTAGTTTTCCTTTCAAGTAATGTCTTTGTCTAGTTTTGGTATTGGGGTAATTCTAGCCTTACAGAATGAATTAGGAAGTATTCCCTCCGCTTCTATTATCTGTTAAGAAATAATATTTATAAAATTTCTACTGAAATGTTTGGTAGAATTTACCAGTGAACCCACCTGCACTGGTGCTGTTTTGGAAGATTATTAATTATTGATTCAATTTCTTTAATAGATAAAGGCCAATCAGATGATCTATTTATCCTTGTTGGGGTTTTGGTAGATTATGCCTGTGATTATTGTGATTTATAATAAGAGAAATATATTTGGTCTTTCTCCTCATTCCTGGTACTAGGCTCCTAAAAACCTTGGAATTTCCTCAATGTTGAGATCTTTTATGTTAATGGGGTGACTTTTGGAAAGCACCTAAGGACTGGGACTTGGTTGTCAGTGGAGCTAACCACGTGTCTAAATTAAATTTTAGGAAGTTCTTATGTATTTAAATATTGTGTCTGGCTTCGTTTTTGTTAATTTCTCCTGCAACCCTAATTACAAATATTTTAGATCTGTATTCTCTGTCTCTTACCCTTTTCCTATATAATCCATCCTTTTTGTCCTTTTTGTGCTTCATTTTAGATATTTTCTTCTCAACTATGTAGTTCACTCATTTTTTCTTCAGCTGTTTCTTCTGCTGCTATATGCATCCACAAATTCTTTGTTTTTGTTTTTCAATTTCAGAATTTCCATTTAGTTCTTTTCATTGTTCCCCATTTTTTGTTAAAATTCTTATCTTTCATTTCTGAACATTGTACATATTATTTTAAAATCTGTGCCCAGTAACTCAAATTCTGAATTCCCAGTAGAAATGTTTCTACTCTCAACTGCTTCTGTTGACTTTTCTTTGCATTATTTGTCTTCTCTTGTGCCTAGTTTAAAAAAGTTTTCACAAAATTGTTTGTAAAAATAATTTGAGAGCTAATAGACTATTACGTCTTTACAGAGAGGATTTCCTGGTACCTGAGGGCACTAGCATTATGGAATCACTTAAATCCAACTGTAGAAATTGAGAAATTCAAAAGCTGAGCTGCAGCCCCCTGGGTGAGCCTGTCTGTGTGTGGTTCACCCTTATTTTTAGAGTGTGGTCATCTGGGGTCCCACACACCAAAGGGAAGGAATTTACCAGCACTAACCCTCACCTTGGCAGTCCCCAGAATCCAATTTTGGTGTCTCCAGGCCAATGTCAGGACCTATGCACTTGGTACACTCCCTTTCTGGGATGATGTTCTTAGGTAGAAGGGGAAAAACTTTCATTTTCCCCTTTATCCACAACATGGTCTGATATGTAGCTTTTAATCACACTGTATTTTTAAAAGTATTTATTTTTGGCTGTGCCAGGTCTTAGTTGCAGCATGCAGGATCTTCGTTTTGGCATGTGGGGTCTTTTAGTTGCAGCACGTGGGCTTCTTAGTTGTGGCATGCGAACACTTAGGTGTGGCATGTGGGATCTAGTTCCCTGACCAGGGATTGAACCCAGGCCCCCTGCATTGGAAGCACAGAATCTTATCCTCTGGACTAGCAGGTAAGTCCCTAACCACATTGTATTTTAAATAGTAGAATCAGTTTGCTTCAACAGACCCTGAGAAGTCAGGCATTTTTCTTGAAATTGAAGTTTCTTTATTCTACCTTGGAGATTCACCTCACCCCATCCTCACCAGATGAGAGGGTGCCTGGCTGATTGGGATATCTGCTGCTCTTAGGAACCCACACAGAAAAGGTGACATCATGATCATATAAGGCACCAGATAGATCTCTTAGTTCCCAAGGAACAGGAACCATTACCTGCTAGTAAAATTGACATAGTGCATAACCTATGACCCAGCAATTTCATTCCTGCATATGTTTTCCAGAAAAACTCCCAAAGGGGTTCAGACCAAGACTTTATAATAAGGAGTTGGTTAAAAGCCTAAATGTATAAAATTGAAAGTAAGGCCACACACAGACCAATGATTATGATGCACCCTAAAATGAGTTTGTAATCAATCCCCACTGAGCACCCAAGGTCATTTCTTGACCAGGTCTGGGAAGAGGGCAGATCCTATAGCAAACGATTAGAGATCCCTCTTCAGGCTGAATAGATACCAACCCATAAACAGAGCCCTTCAAGCAGTCATTCAACAGCATGTGTCACAAGCCTTCTCTGCGTCAGTCACTATTTTATATATTGGAGACACAAAGATGAATGAGGTAAATATGGTCTGTGTTCAGCATATCACATGTACACATGGCCCACCCACATTTCGCCATTTTTTTTTTAACAAAGGATAGGAAATTTTGTGAAATGATTTACCAAAACACAGATATTTATTTGCTGCATTTCCCAGATATACTAACATGATAAAAAGGGATCACTAATCATTAGAGAAATGCAAATCAAAACTATAATGAGGTATCACCTCACACAGGTCAGAATGCCCATCATAAAAAAATCTACAAACAATAAATGCTGGAGGGGGTGTGGAGAAAAGGGAACCCCCTTGCACTGTTGGTGGGAATGTAAATTGATACAGCCTCTATGGAGAACAGTATGGAGGTTCCTTAAAAAACGAAAAATAGAACTACCATACGACCCAGCAATCCCACTACTGGGCATATACCCTGAGAAAACCGTAATTCAAAAAGAGTCATGTACCACAATGTTCATTGCAGCACTATTTACAATAGGCAGGACATGGAAGCAACCTAAGTGTCCATCGACAGATGAATGGATAAAGAAGATGTGGCACATATATACAATGGAATATTACTCAGCCATAAAAAGAAACAAAATTGAATTATTTGTAGTGAGGTGGATGGACCTAGAGTCTGTCATACAGAGTGAAGTTAAGTCAGAAGAGAAAAACAAATACCGTATGCTAACACATATATACAGAATCTAAAAAGAAAAAAAAAAAAAAAAACGGTTCTGACGAACCTAGGGGCAGGACAGGAATAAAGACGCAGACATAGAGAATGGAGTTGAGGACACGGGGATGGGGAAGGGTAAGCTGGGACGAAGTGAGAGAGTGGCATGGACATATATACACTACCAAATGTAAAATAGATAGCTAGTGGGAAGCAGCCACATAGCACTGTGAGATCAGCTCGGTGCTTTGTGACCACCTAGAGGGGTGGGAAGGGAGGATGGGAGGGAGACAGAGGGAGGGGATATGGGGATATATGTATATGTACAGCTGACTCACTTTGTTATACAGCAGAAACTAACACACCATTGTAAAGCAATTATACTCCAATAAAGATGTTTAAAAAAAAAAAGTAAAAGGGTGTAAGTCTGGTAGAATTGTATACCCGTTGCATCCCAGGAATCAATGTCAAAATCATTCTTAGAAAAAGTATTTAATTAGCATCATGAATTCCAAACAAAAAATAAATGTAATAAATAATATTTGGATTATCCAAGGTTGTGGTTAGTTTTAAAGACATCCCCCTACTCTCTCTACATTTACTGTAGAAAATGAAAAGCTAACTGTGCCAAAGACAGTTAAATATCCACTGAGATCTGTCACAGGAATCTGTTTTAATTCAGCTTTGCCCAAAGTGACCTGACAAAGTCTCTCTGGTAATACTTGTCTAACTGCATAAAATAATGCCAGTTAAAGTGATTTTTTGTAATTGGGTTTTTTCTTAGTGGTGACATTTGATGTTGAAAAGTTCTGTGCTATACCTCTACCACATATTTGACTACTGAGGTTCACTTTTGTTGTGTATCCTCTGATGTTTAGTAAGAGATGAGTTCAAGAGATTTTCCCACACCCGTCCCAGTCATAAGGCTTCTCTCCAGTGTGGACCCTGATGTTTGATAAGATCTGAACTTTTTTTTTCTTTCTTTCTTTTTGATGGGGGTGGGGGGCAGTTAAAGTGTGGAGTCCTACTGGACTGCCAGGGAATTCCTGATAAGATATGAACTTTGACTGAAGGCTTTTCTACATTACTTACCCTTAAAGAGCTTTCCCCCACAAGGAATCTTTGCTACACTTTAAGAGTTGAGCTAACGCCGAAAGCATCCCCACAGTGGTCATACATACATAGGGTTTTGTTCCAGTATGGATTTTCCAATGTATAAGATTGAGCTTTTAAGTGAAGGCCTTCCCACATTTTAATATTTATGGATTTTCTCTCTAGCATGAGTTTTCTGGTAATTAAGTGCTGGCTTCCAAACGAAGGCCTTCCCCCACTCACTACATTCATAATGGTGCTTTCCATTGTGGGTTCTTTGGCGGGTGACCAGACTCGAAACACAATGAATCCTACAGTATTATACTCTTTAAACCAATAAGTTTTCTCTTCAGTATGGATTCTCTGATGTTTAGCAAGGCTATCAGAGAACTTAAAGGCTTTGCCACATTCGTGACATAGATAAGGTTCCTGTCCAAAATGAATTTGCTTATGTTCAATGAGACTTGACCTCACAGGGAAGGCTTCTGACACTGAAGATATCCCCAGGGGTTCTCGGATGTCTAAGATCACTCCAGTGTCTGAAGGTTTTGCCACATTCTTTATTCTCATGAAACTCTTTTCAGGATGGCTTCCCTGTTGTTTACTGAGACTTGGGATTACACTGAAGGTCGTTCCTGGTTGAGGATCTATAGGGCTTTCTTTAAGTTTGGATGTGCTAGTGCTTGGTCAGGGCTGCTGGTGTACCAGGGTTTGTATTATGAGGGAGGGATATTTTTGGTTTAGTGACTTCCACTCGCTTTACAAGTGGCTGCTTCTTTTATTACAGTTGAAGTTGGAAATTGTGCACAAGCTGAATGGAGAATTTCCCATGCCCACAGCATCGACAGGACTGAACTTCAGGGTGAATTCTCCCAGGTATCTTAGGCCTTTTTATCAGAGTGATATTCTCCATGGCTTGAAGCAATGTAATTTGTGCATCCTCAAAGGAGCTCCTCTCTCACTTGGGTAAATTATTCAGAAGTCCATGAACTTGTCCAGTGTGGAGCCCCTGATGATGTTCCTACTTAGTCTTCTGAACATCTCCCTTGTGTGTTAGACTTCTGGAAAACTCTGCTTTGAAACAGACTCCTTATTTAAGGCTAGGAGTCACCATCTGAAAGAACAGGTTGATCATGAAATTAGCACCTTTTCCCCAGAGGCAGAAAGAGGGAGTCAAATGTAACATACATGAGAGTAGCCTACAGAGAGAAACTACAGAAAACACAACTCTTTATGTGTGAAAGTTCTAAGTAAGAATACATACTTGCTTTTCCATTACTTTCTGCTCTTATCTTTAGTAATTTCTTCCTTCTGCTTTCTTGGGTTTATTTTCCTGTGCTTTAAGTTCTCAAAAGGGATGTTTAGAGCTTTTTTTTTCACCTTTGCTTCTTTTCTAAATATAGCATCTATACTTTTAAATGAAATAATTTACCCTAAGGAGCCTGAAAAAGTACCAGGAACAGAATAGGTCTAAATAAATAGAAGCTACTCATTATTCGTATCATCACTAATGTAAAGCAGGAGAAGTAAAATAGAAAGGACTGGTGAGGAGACTCATTTGTGCAAGAGCTCCAGTGAACATAACAATATATAAAGTAGCAGATTAAAGAAGAGGTCATCACATAACAAAGCATTTTACTATCTATTTGTAGAGGTGATAAAAACCTCAAAGCTGTAATGTGTATCAGAGAATATCTAGCCTGTCTCCTTATTTTTAAGGATGTAAAACTGAGGCCCAGCTAGGTGGCATTAGCCTAGGTAACAGGATTACTTAGAGGTAAAAATAGGTTGAGACCAAGGGCTCTTGAATTTCACCTTTAAAGTTTTTACCAGCATAACACACTGGCCCACTGTGGTGCATAAACAACGTTCAGATCAAAACTTTCATAGTATAGCATAGTGGTTAAGAGAAAACATCGTCAAGTTGAACTTCTTGTTTCAATTCCTGGCTCTACCATTTCCTAGCTGTCTCTGTTCCTTAATATTTTTAGCTGTAAAATGGGAATATAGTAGTATGTGTCTCATTTCATTATTTTTTATTGAGAAAAATACACATGTAAGGTACTCAGAAAAAGCCCCAGCATAGGAAGCATTCCAAAAATATTGACCAATATGGTAGATCCACTATCTCAATGGTAAATTATATTACTTTTCTTAGTTATTCACTGTAAGCTTTATTTTTCTCCACCCTATGGATAGTAAGCTTGGTGATTTAAATTGCTTTGACTAACAAAACATAAGTGGAAATGACATATGCTCCTCCTGAATAGATGCTTTAAAAGCCATCATGTGGTCCTACGACTGTTTTTCTTTTGCCATAACAGCAGCATATTCAAGGTAGGAGCATTCTTCTAGCCTCGATCCTAGAGTGGTGAGAATGTGTTGCATTAGACAGTTAACACAGGCAAAAATGAAAGTAACAGCCAAGCCTTTAATCACTTACTGCAATAGCATTAGCAAGAGGCCCAACAACAAAAAAGTGCTGGCTCCTGCAGTGTGTTATTCTTATCCATGCAACAGTGCCAGGCAGGGTTCAGGTGAATCAGCACAGGTGTGGAGACTGTGTCACTGCCAACACAGCACCAAACAAAAGGCTCCAGTCATTTTCTGGACCTGGAGGCCAGGGGAAGAAAGAGGGGAAAGGCTAGGATTGTAAAAGTACTAGTACTGAGTCAGAGTGGAGAAAAGTGTCTTGCCTTATCGGGGTGAGAGAATCTTGAAGAGTTACTCAGGCAAGACCCCCAGTAAAAAGGGCCCCAAAAGGAGGTGCCTGGGCTAAGAGTACAGATATGCCTAAAAGCATGGCTGGCCAGGCGGTCTGAGTTTTTGACTGCAACTCCCTTCAGAGACTGCATGTGCTGACTGTGCCTCAAAGCCTTGTGTAGGAGGGTAGCTTTACACCCACGAGGGATAAAGCCTTTGTAACTGCCTATGGTCAGGTCTGAAAAATCATACATATTGAAAACTTCCTTCTCCTACCCGAGATGCACCATGATTTTCACATGTTATTCCCACTGTACCTTCCTTCATTCCTTTTCAGGTGGCTGAAGAACTCATTCTTTCTTCAAGATTTCATCATCCTTCAAAGCTTTTCCAACCTTCTCATAAGTACTTGTTACACTTACAATGCAAAGCATTCGGTATAAATCCAATGGCTTTATCACTGTAATTATTATTTTCTATCTACTCCTTTCTCCCTGTCTGCAAATAGACTGTAAGCCTCTGGAGAGTAGGGTGCTTTTTTCATTTATCTTTGTATTCCTAGTACCTGACACAAGGCCCAACCTAAAATAGATAATCATTAATACCTTAATCTGAGCTTATAAGGAATAACCATGTTACATATATCCTGATATCCTAACACTCAATTCTTCAGTAAATGAAATTTCTTTTTCCAGAATGTCTGTTCCTTCAAAGTTTTCAAAATACTCACCACTTACTGCTTGGGAATCACAGTTGTGCTGATCTGGGTGGGATATGGCATCACTTCAGTGCTGATCCCAGAAGGGTGTGCTCCACCCAGACGACTCCGCCTGCAAACCACCATCCTATGAACAAACCAAGACAGCTGGGCCCAAAGAGGTAAATACTGAAAACAATGGCGATAACAACACAGACAGGGGGTGACAGGGAAGTCTCTCCAGAGCAGAGCAGGGGGAAACCACAGTGTCCTTCAATTGCCAAAGGCAGGAAAAAGTAGGGCAAAGAATTAACACCTTGAACCCAGCATAGCAAAGTCAACTTCCTGGTGCTTCTTTGAGGCCCTTCACTGCCTGTAGGTACATGCCTTACTTCTCTAACATGCCTCATGCCCTGAGTGAGGTCCTATCTACTCAATTTGAGCTGCAGAACCATGACATTCTCCACCTTCAGGCCCCATGTCCAGGCCTAAAGTTACCTGAGTAGTGTGGTAAGCACCATCTCAATAACAGATACTTCATGATGTGCTTTTTAACATGCGTCTGTGACCTCAGTGTTGGAGCGCACAAGTTAGCTTAGAGCTACCTGGAATCCAGTGTGTCTTATAGCTGACTTGCTTGAATTGCTGATGAGAATCCAGGGAAACTGTGCATCCTTTGCAACACAGTCTTACTCTGAAGTGAATACCACTTCAACTTCCCACAGAGTGTTCCCTCCTACTTGTCCACAGTGTGGACCAAAGCAATCTGCAATTTCTATCAATTTGGTGCTCACCTTGAACCTGAATTACTAAGTTTCAGGGATCAAAAGGATTTCAGGCCCATTACCCAGGAGTAAGAAAAATAATAACAAAGTAATTTTAAAGTCCAGATTTCCTTTGAGTTTCATATGTGCAAAGAATACAGAGTTTGAGTTTTAGGCCTGGGGATAGTTAGGAAGTTAGGCTATAGTCTGGTGAACAGCTCTACTGGGATTTCCACAGATATAACAAAGACATTTCTCTAACTGAATTCATTAACTTTCTACCACCTCCCAAATCTGAGCTCTCCTGGTTGATTACAGATATCAAGTTTCACATAGTCACTCAAATAGATGGTTGTGTTCTTTTTAATTGGAGTATAGTTGCTTTACAATGTTGGGTTAGTTTCTGCTGTACAACGAAGTGAATCAGCTACATGTGTACATATATCCCCTCCCTCCCACCCCCACTCCATCCCACCCATCTAGGTCACCACAGAGCACCAAGCTGAGCTCCCTGCACTATACAGTAGGTTCTCACTAGCTATGTTTTACACCATGGCAGTGTACATATGTCAATCCCAATCTCCAAATTCATCCCCCCACCCCCGTGTCTACACCTCTGTTCTCTACGTCTGCATCTCTATTCTCAAAGAGATCGTTGAAAGCCATCATAAGACTAATGCCAACCCCAACTCAACAACAGTCCCCAAAGCTTGTTCCATTCTCATACCTCTGAGTCTTTGCATATGCCACATTACACTTTGAGAAACACTGAATGCAAGGGTCAGAAGCACCTGACACTCTTTGACAGGTTTTTGGTTTAGGAAGCTCAGTTAAGTTCTGGGGTTTATTGGATTATTAAGTCCAAAAGGCCTGGGGCTTATAATTAACCTTTTTTAAAAAAATTAATTAATCTATTTTTATGTATGTATTTGGCTGCGCTGGGTCTTGGCTGCAGCACATGGGATCTTCGTTGCAGCATGTGGGATCTTTAGTTGGGCATTCGAACTCAGTTGCGGCATGTGGGATCTCGTTCCCTGACCAGGGATCGAACCTGGGCCCCCTGCATTGGGAATGCGGAGTCTTAGCCAGGCCTGGGGCTTTAACTAAGCAAGAATAAACTTAAAGAGGGAATCCCCTGGCGGTTCAGTGGTTAGGACTCAGCCCCTTCACTGCAGGGGGCCCGAGTTTGATCCCTGGTTGGGGAACTAAGATCCTGCAAGCCGCATGGCATGGTCAAAAAAAAAAGAATAACTTTGAAGAATTATCAGTTGGGATTCCTAGCCAAAAAGAGAGAGTATGCCTTCTGCCACGAGGTCACTAATACATTTAACCATCTCTAAGAGCATAGCAGTACATCAAAGCCAAAGAAATCAAGACGAATAGGTTAGTTATTTGCAGATTCAATGAGGACATGTAGTCCCTGTCTCACCAACCAACATTACTTCCAATTTCAAAATTTAATGTTTCAACTATAATACTGGTAGCAACAACAACAACAAAAGGCTTGCACATAAGAAAAGGAAAAATCATGTTTGAAATACTGAAGTTTGCTTTTACTAAACCATAACAAACTATATTATGGTATAATTTACCTTATGAGTTGTAAAACTGCATTCTCAGAAGTAGATGTGATCTTAGAGACCTTAAGTCAATCATTACGATGATGGAGTCCTTTTTCATTGACTTCTCACTTCTTTGATATTCCAAGAAACGAAGTGTCAATTAAAACATTAACTTTTACCATTAACTTTTACCATACCCTTCCTTTGGTGACAACTTCTTATATTAAAAAAAAAAGGCCTTTGTAATATCTTCACCATGTAAGTCACTGATGACACTTTCCTTTGGCATGTATTTTCTGGTGTTTAGTAAGATTAGAGCTCCCATGGAATGCTTTCCCACACTCGTCACACTCGTATGGTTTCTCTCCAGTATGGATTCTCTGATGAAGAATAAGAGTTGAGATCTGGCTGAATGCTTTCCTGCATTCTCCACACTTATAGGGCTTTTCTCCAGAATGAATCCTCTGGTGATTAATAAGGGCTGAGTTCACATAGAAGGCCTTCCCACACTCCTTACACTCATATGGCTTCTCTCCTGTGTGGATTCTCTGATGTTTGATGAGGTCTGAGCTCATGCTGAAGGCTTTCCTACACTCATCACACTCATAAGGTTTCTCACCAGAGTGGATTCTCTGATGTTTGATGAGGTCTGAGCTCACACTAAATGCTCTGCCACATTCATTACATTCATAGGGTTTCTCTCCATTGTGGATTCTCTGATGTATAATTAGGTGCGCCCTCACACTGAATGCTTTCCTACCCTCATTACAAGTATAGGGTTTCTCACCAGTGTGGATTCTTTTATGCACAGTGAGGGTTGAGCGCGCATTGAAGGCTTTTCCACAGTCATCACACTCATAGGGTTTCTCTCCGGTGTGGATTCTCCGATGTCGAACAAGGCTTGAGCTCTGGGCAAACTTCTTTCCACACTCACTGCATTTATACCATCTTTCTTCTTCAGGCTTGTCCTCATGCCTTTCTAACTGGTCCTCATACTGAATAGCTTTTTCATTCTCAGGAATCTGTAAAGTATCCCTATCATATATGCTGGGGACCTTTGGGTGTGGGTCCATCCTTACAAAAATCTTCCCTTCAGAATTGACACCTTGTTCATACCTTTGGCCTTGATTCCTGAAATAAACAGACCTTTCAAATGTAATTTATTCCCTGATGCTAAAGCAATATGATGTAATAAAGACTAAACTAGGACTCTCAAACATGTTCCACAAACCCAGGACACCCCGATCACATGGTGGCCAGATCAAATGTTTTTCTTCAGTCTGTACCACCACAGAACTATTGGAATGAACACCTGACTCAAATAACTATTTAAGTCTACCCTTTATAAAGGTATTTAAAGCACAAAATCTGGGATATAAGTGAGTATATAAAAGAATAGATAGTTTCTACTTAAGACTTTTTATCATATTTAATTAAATTGGGAAACAAGACAGGAGTTGCAGAGATTTGCAGATAGCAGAGAAGATGAAGGAGCACAGGAATAGAGAAGGCAAAAAAACCAGAAGTTCAACTGATAATGAATTAGTTTGGGAAAAATGAAAATAACGTTATCATTGTGTTTTATCACTCACACAAGTCCACACTATTTGGGTTGGAAGAGAGACATGGAGACAAAAGAAGCTCTGTCTACTGCTACCTCTACTATTGCTGCAGCTGATGTTGCTATGACAGACAGGGGTGCTTTGTCTTCTCTGGAACTGTGACAGAACAGACCCTTTATCTCTCCAAAGAAGGGTCCACTCCAGCTTTATAATTCAGACCAAGGTGTGGATAACTTGTTGGACGGCTCCCACTCTCTTATCCCCTGGGAACAAACTCAATTCTATCTCCAAACTTAATAAAACTTTTGCTTCAAACTCAAATTAAACAAATTATCTCCCTCTGCCTTTTTCCATCTTAAAAATTGTTTTATGTCTCAATAGTGATAAGTCAACACCCCCAAACCTCTAACCTCAGCATGATAATGAGAAAAACAACAGTCAAATTTCAATTGATTAACATTCTACAAAGAAACCTTAAAGTACTCCTCAAAACTGTCAAAGTCATCGAAAACAAGGAAAGTCTGAGAAACTGTCACAGCCAAGAGGAGCCTATGGAGACATGACAATTAAATGTAATATGGTACGCTGGATGGGATCCTGGACTAGGAAAAAGAACATTAGATAAAAATTAAGGAAGCGTGAATAAAGTATGGACTTTAATAATAATAGGCAATAGTAACTCAATGGTTGTGATAAATATTCTATATAATGTAAGATGTTAATAACAGGGGAAACTGGGGACTTCCCTGGTGATCCAGTGGTTAAGAATCCATGCTTTCAATGCAGTGGGCACAGGTTTGATCCCTGGTTGGGAAACTACGATTTTACATGCCACGTGGTGCAGCCAAAAAAAAAAAAAAAAAAGAAAAAAAAAAAA